GACGAACTACGAAAGCAGGCATGCGAGGCAGACGAGGACCGAGACTGCGGCTGCGTACTCGTGACTGCATGAAATACGCAGATACAGTGAGGTGCCGAGTCTTCTTGGAGACAACAAGCATAACTGTTTGGTTAATAGTGGCCACAGTTTGCGAATTATGACTCGCTGCCTCTTCGGGGGGTGCATCAAGCTGCAATGATCATGCATTACACCTGTTTTATCTCTGTAACGTTTAATAGCGTTGTGCTACGATAGACTACTCAAGCAAAGCGAAGAGTGCTGTTGCGGACCTTCTCAGAATATATACGACCAAGCCTTGTAGCCAGCCTGAACCCCTACGGCAAATGTGACATGATAATTTTTATGATCTGGCAGTTTACTAGCGGTATCCAATGGCTTAAAATAAGCTAATGACTATTACTTTCCCTCATCGTCCTGCTGTTGTGATTCTTCTTCGGACTGCCAAGCAGTTAACTCTCAATAGCTCGTGTAATGACCCATTAATTCCAGCAATTCATTTGTGCGTCGAACCTGTCTTTTTCTCCGCCACATCATCACTTACTTTCTAGCGAAAACTGCCACTGCTACTCTTGCCGCAATTTCCGTCGCTTGAGAGTCACACAACCTCAAGGTCGGTTACATGAAAATTTTCAGTATAGTTAAATATTTTGGTAAAGTAACAAACAGTTTTCGTTAAACAGTATTACGGATAATAACTTCGTGGAGTACCGAAATCATCCATATGAAAAATAGACACTTTTACGGAAATGAATGGCACATTACGGGCAGATCATTCTCTAATCGCATTCTAGACACATTGACAATCTTCGCTAAAACTTGCTGGCGCTTCCTAATCACCCTCCCAGGATTCTCATCCAGAAAGCTCAAAGCTACTTCGTGGCCGGCGTGATTGATTGCTATTATTTCGATTATTGTTTTTGTGGTGCAATCTTAAAGCAAACTTGATTAATGCCACTAACCAATCTGTGCTCATAGAAGTAGTACGATAATCGATCTAATGTTTATATTACACTTTTTATGACCAATAGCACAGTTCGTCATCTTCAAATATGCTGCACATTTAATGCTTTTCCAGTGTCTGGGAAACGTTGGAACTAACGTCTAACGTCCAAATCGCGCCCTTAGAAATTACATGATTAAAAATTTGAAGCTTTGTTCGCTAATGTTTCAATGCGACTTGTTTTTGCTGGCACACTGATTAGCTGGATCAGGCTACAAGATTGGGCTGAGTTGAGAGTGTCTGGTAGCGACTCGCTGTACAATTAAATCGCACAAACGCGAGTTCAGTTCACTTAATAAGTACCACACAGTACGCACGTTGAGGCAAATGTTTAGCTCCTATGGGGCAACTCCACAAATTCTGAGACATTATTGGTCACATTATGTGTATCTGATAGGTTGTACCGGAATTGGTTGGAACGGATTGCCCAGTTAAATCCCATAGATTGCCAACGAGATCCTGTTGCTAGGTAGAAAGGGAAATAACATAACTGGGAAACAGGTGTAAGCGCACTTTTTCAGCCATTTAAATGCGTACAGTGTCACTAGCCATTAGTGATCAGTCGCATGATATTGGTCCAACAAATTTTATCATTACCAATAACATTACTTGCAGCGAAGGTTCTTGATTTTTGCGTGCAATATACACAGCACAACAATGAATACGGCTATGATTAGTGACTACCGACGAGTGACGGTCGGATATATTGTGCACTTATCACATGCGGGCTCAGAGTCTGGGCCAACACAGACAGAACCAAATAGGTCAATTTCACTATAAGTGAAATTTAAAATAGCTTAAGACCCGAATGTACTATGCTTGGCAACACCTGTTGGACAAACCAGTTTTGGAAATTGCCAAGGTTCTTAAGTTAGTTTACACGGTTCTCTGCTTGCTCGACACAATTATTGGCTTGGCGCGTAGCGGATGCTGGGTTTGTGTTGTTTCTTTATTAACGACGATTTGCGCTGGCTTACGAAGTTGACATAGTTTTGAAAGAAATCCTTGTACCAATCTAGAAGTTTGTTTAAATTGCCATTACCTTGTTCGTTAACCATGTGCTTCCACCCCGCTAGAAATATAAATGAGTCTCAGTTTTACGTAAGTATTCGACACCATTTGCAACTTTTTATCGATTGGAATTTTACTGCTCGTTATACGACGTCCATGTGGATGCTGATGATCCTATAATCATCCATTGTGGCTGCCCATACAATTTAATATTTGTTCTACCAAGGTGATCAGTATACAGCTCTTGTACCTTGCTTTCCACCGTCCGGTGCATGTGGAAGTCCATGATGTTGCTAATCGCGCATGTGTCAAAAAGAACGAAAAATTCTATTGTTCGCTTTACATTAACACGCAGTGTAGCATTTAGCTTGCGTTTAGGCTTCCGGTCTGGTGTGTCAGTCCGAAAGAACTTATCGGTACTCCTCAAACAGTTCTTCTCTTTGGACCATACTGACAGCTATTCTGTCTTGCTTGAACCTGCATACATTAGGAAAGTAATTGCTTTGCTACGTGCTTAGCACGTTTGACCGGTAGCTGCACACTTTTTTGTAAGTGTTAGCTCCTATATTATCTACACAACTTGATAGGTATCCGCCTGTATCTTGCGGGTCGCTACCTTGTCGCTACCCATGTTTTGTTGGATTTCACGATGACTGCGTCCTCAGATTGTTTATTGTGTTTTCTGCGGTTTTTTCCGTGATTTGTAGGGTTCATTCATTGTCTTCGTGTATGTCTAGGACAGGCATTGCTAATTCGATCTCTCTTTTCAGAATATTATTTCCCTTGGCATTGCTAGGCCAGTCTTTAAAATTGATTCGTTCCTGAGAGAGCTCCTCCCACTGTTCTCGTACGAGCACTTTTTCACCTACTGGCTCATACATTCCCTAAACTCTTCGACTATCCTACTTGGTGTTCCCCTGTGTCGTTTATGCAACATATGACTAAAATAGGACGTTCTTGTGGCATTTGAGATACTGGCAGGGTGCGCCAGTGAGTTCTTGGAATGCTGCTTATGGTTCTTGTTCATTCTGGTGGGCATAAGTTGGCGCCCGTCTCTACAGTGAGGCTATTTAAGAATATGCAATGTGCCTTTGAAAACTAACCGGAAGAGGCAGATCTGTCTGCTAGAATTTTCAGTGTATATGCCATTTATAAACCTGTAATCTGTGCAAGGCTTTAGAAAAATTGTCCAACTTTTTTGAACGTCATTCTCAATACTCATCGGTTAGGGAACGCCGGTTTCCGGTTTTCGCGTTCTGTTCAATTCATTGTCTTGTTTTGACTCACATTATCTTGTCTTTTGATCACAGCACTCCACTGGGTTATTCTTCCTGCTCTCTAAATTTCAGCAACAACCATCTTCACCGATACTGTGCGTAGGACTGCTATCAAATTGCACGAGAGTGATATCGCCCTTATTTTCTGCTCAAAATACGCATATGCTACAAATGGGGATATCAGATCAGCTTTGAAACGGATGTATCAGTATGTTATTTCTGATCTCAATCTCTTCACCTCCTAATAGAGTACCTAAAAACGATACGCCTGTTAAAGTAATCACCGTCAATTAGCGGTTCCTTCGACAACGGACGCTGACGGACTATGCTCCAGTCATCTTCGGGATTTGTTACCTTTAGCCTTTCGATCTGTGTTAGCCAGTCTACCTGTTGCGCTTACATCGGTTGTCGAGTTATAATCGACTGAGATCCGGGTAGACTGAAATAGGCGGACAATCTAATTCTAAGCATATAATAAAAAAAAAAAAAAAATTATTACTTTAGTGTTCTGAATGTCATAATCTAGTGTTTTCTAACGTTTCTTACGAAACCACTGCCCGTGTGCTAACATATGCATAAGCTTTCCGCTTTGGTCAGAACCAAGCTGAATTCTAAATTTCATACTATATGATACGTTTTTGATACCATATTATATCTAACCAAACCAGTCTTGGGAAATTTAGCTGAACTGAAAAAATCCACGTTTTGAAAGGAGCGTCAAAGCATACAGCTAAAGTGTTGTTTGGGCTATGACAGCTAACGATATTTTAAAACCGATTAGGAGTTAGTTACAAGCACGACTGCAAACGTATGAATTAGATATTAGCGCTATTAGCATAAAAAACCTTGGCGATCGAACTTCAGACTATGTTGGAGTACAGGATCGAGTCTATCAAACTCTTCCGAATTGCCCCACAAATTTTATGTGACTCTGTTTTTAAGAGAGCTAAAAACAAAGATCAAAATAAGAGATAAAAATCGTACATGCTACTTTTAATATATTTTTAGGAAATGAAATTTTTTACAGCGTATTCTGAAAAATGGTACGACATTTTGAGAACCCTAATTTTTGTTCCGAAAATTGCGATACAAAGCACGTCGTAGAAAAAAGAAAGCATTTTTAACCATGTCTGAACATTTAACCTACAGGACGGTTCAAGCAAAATGCGATAACTTATTCCACAAAAATAAAACGAGTTTAAATTTCTAAATTGGTAATGTAGCTTTAGTAAGGAAATCTGTTAAGTAAAGGTATTTCTCAAGTTCCGTGTACAAAAAAAATTCTACAAGGCAATCTAACCTTAAATTAATCAGTAATCTTTTTATTTCCTAAATGTAATGAGTAATAATGTTAGAATTTAAATTGCTTTCCAGCGGGTGTAGAACGCATTACCCATCGCGGAGGTATCAGTAACAGTATGTTTCTACTCTTTGAGAAAATATCCTCAAAAATCACGTCATGATTGCGTAGAACGCGATTCACGTGTCTCATAGGTTTGTGTTCAAATTATGAACTGTAGGTTTCTTCACCAGAGATTTCTAAAATCTACATACTAAACAATGTGTGCAAGATTTCACTGTATAGTCTCCAAAACTGCTTAGATAGAGGTATATACCTTTAAAGTAAAAGCCAAGTACCACCTTGCTCGTCGTAATGATTGAAAACTAACAGAGGTTCTTGCTTGTTTCAGAATCTTCGATCACAGATCATGACAACCAACGTTTGGGTTAATCAGGTTTGATTACATATTTATTATCTTTTATTATATGCTATTATATGGTATTTTATTATATGTTATTTTTTAAAATACTTTAATAGACGTTGGATCGTTCCATACTGAAAAGTGTTCGACAATGTAGTTATCCTACCATATGATACTTTATTGCTTGTATTCATTTTTAACGGAGAAAATTTCGTAAGATTGCGTTTTGACTTAGTATATCATTTATAAACTCTTATCTGTTTAAAATACACGCTTTACTTGTCGTAAAACTCAAGGGGAAGAAATTCCCTTAATATCTTCCCTACCGAAATATTTTTAGCATAATTGTTTACGTGGCAGATCATAGCTTTGTTCACTGAGATTATTTTAATTCATAGCTGTTAATGAATGGAAGGTTGTTCGACACTATTGTTGCTGTCTCTTTTGGACCGCACTGGGCGAACACGGCTTTACAGTCACGGCCAACCGAATTTAGTATACCACTATATTCGGGGTTTTTGCTATGTGTAAGGCTAAAACTCAAATTATGGGGCTAACCGGCAGCTTTATATGCAGGCAGCGTTGTGCTTTGCTTTTTATTTAAACGGGCTGTGAATACCGAGAGTTCTGTGACTTGAACGAGCCTTCAACATTAAGCAGTATCAGAGGCAACAACTCGAGTTGTTTTTTTTGAATGATTAAACATTTTTCTGTATTTTATGGAAAAGCCAACTTCAAACAAAATACAATACAGCGACAAAGGTTGGCAACAAATACAATTGGCATACAGAGACAGGAAGAGGGGCACTAGCGTCACGAAAACAGGACTACGGACCAGCTGCCCCTCTTGCTTTAAAAACATTTCAGCAACTATGATCATTTCGTGTCTTTTCGTGCCGTGAACTCCAAAATAAGGTGACAAGGTAATATCTAGATATGAATTATCCAAAACTTCGCCGTCATTTATGTGGGAATTTAAGTGAATTGACTGCAACACAACATGTATGTGTACACAACAAACTGAAGCAAAAAAAGTGCATTCATAGCATCTTTCCAGTTCTTAGTAATTCTTCAACTGTTTTAACTCTTTGTCTATTTGAAACAGAAGTGATGTGCTATCTATCAATTTTTCCACAATGGTTAAAATTGTTGTTAGTGATAAAGAAAATAACGTTTATATTATATATCACGCAAAATACAAAGGTGCTAGTACAGAGCCATGGGGAATGCTTCTCGGCATTGTGACAATGTAAAAAAAGACGTTCGCTATTCGTACGTGCATAATTGTATTCTGTATATAAAATGAAAATTAGTTGCAAGAACTGTTTTTTCTTTCAAAATAAGAAGTATTTCCAAAAGTATACCATGTTGTAACGAATTATAAATTTTAAAAACGTCAAAGAAGACACCAGCAAAGGCGTCGCCATACTTTGTTGTACGGCGAATGGGTTCTGTTGTGTCGCTGACAGCAAACACAGTAAATCAGTATTGACTTTATTTACGTCAAGTGCCTACGAAAAGGGCATCGTTCGTCATGTACATTGAAACTTTGTTCTTGATACATGTTCAAAAAATTCTGCCGTAAATCTTCTGAGACTAATGGTTCGATAGTTATTTGGATTAGACTGGTTGCCCTAGCTATTATATAATAATGGAGATCATCTAAGATGCCGCGAACGAAGTCAAGGAGTGGCATACTCATATAGATATCCGCCTATATGCTAATAATACTATTTTACTCAACAAAATAAGACCATTTTCACCTTCGGAATTTAAAACGTGCATAGGTTTTGATGCACACTGGAACGAGATTGAGGCAATGAAAGGTCTATCACTAAGTCAGACTCAGCAAAACTAGATGATCGGACGGTTAAACCCATTCAGATTCTTAGGCATGACAGTGACACACGTAAGATTAGAGATGTGAAACAAGCTCGCAGTAGCCACTACAACAGAAAAGTCGGCTAGGCTTTTCTGAAAGGCGATGCTGACCATCTGTTATCTGAAAAAAGTTTCCTTTGCATCTTAGCGAGTGCCATTATTCTGGAAACACTTGAATATGACGCAGCTTCGTAACCTCGACCATGTACAACGTGCAATACCAAAGCGCGTTTCAATACCCCTATATTTGTCCATCCTTCAAACTTATATCCGTAAAAAAAACTGTTACATCAAGCATTTTCGTTGTTCAACCTTGTCGACAATCCCGGTAATTAATTTAATATCAGCATTGTAAGCTTCGATTGTTCTTGTCTGGGAGGTGGTTGAAGCAAATCTAAGTAGTAAAACCTGATAAGAGACCAGCCCAAATTTTAGCTTTTCTTCTTTAAATGCAATAACCAAAGAAAATTACCCAACGTTTCTAATAAGTATTTCAATTAATCGAAAATAGAAAGAGCGAAATGCTGATCACAGAAGCTGAGGTTCCGAGCATCCCCTGAGTGGCCTACGACACCAGTGGTGAAGTGCAAACTTACCACTATTGTCTCTCAATTTTGTTGTAATATTTTAAGCAAAGAGATAAAAATAGTCTACGTTTAGTTCTTTTACTTTCGATTTAGGTGTGCACTGTTATCATCTACGCCCTTCTGTCATCAGGATAGTAACTTATTCTGCTGAATAATTCTGGAATCCGAGAGCGTGAAATTTCACGAGGCAATTTCTACAGTCTTATATTTGCTTTGGGGTGATGCCTCACCAATTCAGTTGCATCCACAAACTTTTGTGAGCGTCTGCGTTATCTTAGGAGATCAATTTTTGACATCACAAGTCATAATTTGATGAAAGAATAGGTTGCCGTCGCAACGAGGGAACAAACAACATGTTTTAACGTCTCTGTTTTTGATTCTCATGTGACACCCATTCAACCAACGGCTCACGGTTTGTTTGGTAGTAAACTGCCTATCGAATAACCAGGGTTGTACGGCGAGCTGCTTTTAATACTGTAGAATATATCCGTGAACCACCTAAATTTGCTGATTTTCGATTTAGCTCATCCTCATGAAATAACCTAATGAAAGCCCGGGTAGTTAAATCCGAGTCAGTGGTCTCAGATTTTAGAGCTTACAAGCGCATTTTGAATGCGAGAAATGTCGCTAAATTTCACAAAATTTTATAAAACACCATACTCTTGAAATATAATATCAATGCCTGTATTTTACATAAAAGTAGTTTTTAAAAGCGTCTAGCTAAAGTTAATTGACTATATAAGGCCTGCTGAGTTGTATGACGTCTAATGACTTTTTCCATGTCGTCTAATGATGTATTAGATATTGTTGGATATGTCTTTGAATGAGCTTTTAATCGTTATAAAAATTGACATGAAGAAAGTAGGATAGGCTATTTTAGCAAGAATGTATGCAGGTTCAAACCTTTGAACCATATGTGTTAATTATTATACGTACCTGTTTATTGGTTTGTATGTTAAAATGAAAAAGGGAAATAGCTGGAAAAAAACTCAGGAGGTGCTAGCTCAAATATACTTTTGTTATTTGAAAGCGCAAACAGTGCTCAACAATGGCGTCGGACATAAAACCCAAGCCATTGATTCATCAAAATGGAGGTTTGTGGTAATAGGCTTGTGGTACGGCCGTAAATTATTAATCTCCATAATGTAAATTGAATGTATTGGCGGCAACCAGCCTTCCCGGAGCGCGTTAAAAGGGTATTGGTACACACGAAATTCTGTTTTTCAATTAAATATATAATAATGTAACTAGACTGTACCCACATATTTTTTTATAAGGTCTGTAAGTTCGATCAGACCAAATAAACCAATGAAGCATAAACAGAGTAAGTTTATTTTAGTATATCTCTAGACTCCTTCTTTTATCCGTGACATGTCATAGCGTGTGGATATGAGCAAGCCAACTGCGTTTGAAAAAGGTGCCATTGCGAGCAGAAGGCAAGTCTGGCTATGAGCTTGCAGTTTTTTTTCCAATTTTCTTTTCATAATATTAATATCATACTTTCATAATATAGATGTATTTAAGGTATGATGGCTTTGTAGGCGAATGAGCGGATCACCTTGTCGCAATTTTTATTATAAATCTTGGCCAGATGGTTTCAGAGCCATAAGATCTAAAACGATGTATCCACAATTACCTGCCAATATCGTTTGATTCTTTTTTTAAGTTCGAGTAACGATTTTTGTACAATCACTGGTTACTAAAAGGATGAAAGTACAAAATTTCGTCAACGACTTCCTTCATTGGCAGTCGGAAAATAAACACAACGGCATGAACGTTCACACTTTGCGATAATAGCAAATTATTAATCTCCTGCGCGATGTCGCTGAGAGTCATGCTGGCTCTTAGACTAAGCAAGCTATCATGCTAAACGTTGCGAGCTTTTACGTCGACAATTTCGTTAGCACGCATCAGAAGATCAACTTACAACATATGAAATGTGTCTATTTCAAAATTTTATAAGTTTAGTAGGAAGACACATTACCACTGAACAATCACAAGAAGTGTTTTTTTCGAAAATACACCAGTAACATAAGGGCTTGTCTGGCTTTATAGTTGTAGTATGCAAGCTACACTCTGGACACTCGGGAAACTGAGACTATGCACAATTTGTTAAATTTTCGATACTATTGTCATCGATGTCTTCCCCGTTTATGAGTCACGGTGTGCGGTCTGCTAGTGGAGAAAAAGCTGCTCTACAGGCTGGTAGATCGTGTCCTATGGATCAGTTGTACTACGTACGGCATTAGGAGATTAACAAAATATATATTAACAACCGTTCGCCTGCAGCACCGATCTGGTAAAGGAGCCATCAAGAATTTATCCGATTGAATTCTATCTCAATGGGAATCTAGTTGTTAAGTATAGATTTGACAATTTTGCTAAGCACTATTTTATTATACTATTATTATAGGAGTTGGGAGGTTCTTAAGTGCTGGCATCAAGGGGTATTGTCTACCAAGTTGGCTATAAGAAACGGACGAGGCCCAGTCAATAAACTTGAATGATGTTTCGTCTTCAGTAGAACATTGGCGGGCTATATGTCGCAACGAAACTGCATTCAGTTGCACTGCAAACCTTAACACTAAAAGAAAGCCGTTTCTAAAAAACAGGACATCAAAGTCATCGGGGCAAAAAAGAACGCGCTACTTTCGTACTTTAAGTGAAGATTAGCGAATATATAATTTCTACATATTGGACCAACCCCATTAAAATGAAAAACTTCCTTGTTGCCTGCGGTCGACAGTCTACATTATTGCAAGTTTTTGTACGGCTTGAAAATCCAAGAAATAGTTACAAGAGCGCACACAAGATTCTTAATAACGTTTACACCTAAGGGAGACGAACATCGATCGAAATGGCTTAAAAAACTATTTTTGGTTCAGGAATTAACGGCTGCCTTAGAAAGAAAATAACAGCTTCCGACGAAGTTGTCCAGATACGTCCTAACGTCTTTCTGAGATCCTCTGCGCTATGTTGTACTTTTTGGATTATTTTGCTCTTTTTGAGTTTTTGCATTGTCAGAACGTTTGGCCTGCTATCAACACAAAATTTAATTTTACAGGAATTATTGGTATATGGTGTATTTAACCTACACACAAATTAATATCGCTGGATGTCGGTTACTGTTAAAAATTATTTACAAGCTAAAGGATTATTGTTTTGAGAATGACTAGTGTGTAGTCCGGAATTGAAGATGTAGCCGAGGTGGGTGGTAATAATACTGAATAAGCATGACCGTCAGGAATGAATGTATCTTTAAGTAAACGCAAAAAATGTCGCTAAAATATCGCTTCTTGTTTAGATACAGTCTTAGAAAAAAAATAAAGAAATTCTGGCATTAGACGGAATTAGCTTTTCTGAAATTTTCGTTGAAGTGTGGCTTAACAACGTTTAAGTTCTCGCATAAATAATGGTAGAAGCTACGCAAGCTACTTCACACTATAATTGAAGTAACAGTCGAGATTTTTTTTGATGTGGACGACTCTTATCGTGTATTATAGTTGATCTGTTGCTGTCTTTTTGATGATTTGTTTGGTAATTTAGCTCATGCAAAGACCTTTAAAGCTCGATAGGATTACTACAGAAAGCAATGTTTCAGAGTGCAGCCAAAAAGGTGCCCCATCCGCCAATATAAAATTGTTAATGTAAAGAAGCGTTTTTAGCACGAAGATAAGAGCCGGTACGAGTAAGAAGTATGAGATTAGAATGTTCATTGAATAAAATCAGGATTTTCCGCTCAACTTCTTCTTAACTTCACCTTTACTATTTTTCCACTTTTAGAATAACGCCCACTATTAGATTTGCTCTATTAGTTATGAGTCGGATCTTGAAAACGTTGGCGGAACATGCAAGTGTAGAAATCAAAGAAATTTGCGAAAAACATTTTTACTCCGCTCGGATAAATTTTTTCATGAGTCTCCGTTGCGCTAAGATTTTTCTAAGTTCAGCTGAAGAACCATATTGCCCTGGAGATGCAAAGGAAAAACAATAAAGTATTGAGTAACCTTTGGCCTACATTAGAAATTAGATGTAAACATTTCGTGGAAATTCTTTATAATTTGACAACCGTTGTTCTCCCCTATCCCACGATAGATAAGGAATCCCAAAAAAATCGCAAATAAATATAATCTATTATTTAAAAATATAACGACGGAATTGGTTATCGCGATAGTAATAAGAACTAAAGATTGCATAGACTATGAGTAGCCCCTCATTAGGTTTATCAAGAAGTTTCTATTTCATCGAATAGAGCTATTCACAAATCAGTCCCCACGACATCAACGACAAAATCTTTGGTGACAATAAATACAGTTCTTTTAATTAGAGTGTACATAGTCGATTACGCATCCTTGTGTAAGGTGTTTTATTTTCTAATTTATAGGAATGGTCCGATCATAAGCTTCGTTGGGACCCTACAGAGTATGGAGGAGTTACCGAACTATATGTGCCGGCTGAGCAGATATGGCTGCCCGACATCGTGCTGTATAACAAGTAGGTGAAATAAACCTAGTGTAGAATATGAACTATGGGTCCTCAAGGTAGCTGAGGTCACACGATTAAAGCTCAAAAATTGTCAGAATGTATATAACACATGACAGAGTAGGTTGAATACAATTCGATAAGGTTTTTAATTGAAAGTGCCGGAGGCAACATTAATGAAAGTGTTTGCCGCGCTGCAAGAAACAGTTGCTGAATAGGATTTAGGGAACCATACAAGCAGGTCACGAACTAAAAACTAAATATGGTGCACTGCTGTTTGTATTTATAAACTGGGATATTACATACTGTACTATATTTTTTTTCGTGATCTCTTCGTGCTATTATTCGGTGGTTTTCCCAAACCAACTGGCGAGTAGCGCAACTGCCGGCGTTTTATTGGCTGTGCCTTGCAGGAGCCCGCACTAACAGGCCTACTTATTCAAACCTGAATACCTCGTTGTCTTGGTAGTGCCCATAGTGATAGCGGCTGTTTACATCGCTCAATGGGGTTGACGCTCAGCTTCCTTCAGAGGAAGATTTGGAGATCTGTTGGCGACGGAGTAGAAAGAGGTATAATTCCGAAGTCTTATTTCGCTTGATACACGTCACAGCTGCGTACGTACGCCCACATTTTAACCCTAATCCTTCCACCCAGAAAATAGTTTGTCATTCTACGCCGCACAACTTTCTTTTCGCTTAGATAACCTTGATGGCACTAGGGTACGGGGTCTAAATGAGAAACTGTACCTTCTTGCAGTATACTGAACATTAGTGTTCACCGATGGCTCGCTAGTAGATGTGTACCGCAACCGGCATCTTTGTAGAGATTCGTGGTGATCGAATTGGTCGGCTGAGTAGTGATTCAGACTGTACTCCCGCCATCGAGCCGGATCGTGTTCACATAATGCAGAGCTAGTTTACTCGTGTCGCCTTTACCAGCAAGTTCCAGCATCTTCCATCGTATAGGCTCACGCCATACGAGCTAACTCAGTAGAGGGAAGGTTACCGCCGCAGCGGTTGTAAAATCAGCAAAAAATGCTGGTTTGCGCGCTGGATAAATGTTACCCAAATATTAGAGTACAATACGCAGCTTCTTTAGCAGAGACCGGTTGACATTTACAAATCTGGTAGCCTTTTTGTAGTGACGGGATACCTGTTCCGGCAAGTCTCTTCCCTAGAAGGAAAATATTCGCGCAGTGTCTTTTTAAAGCTTTCTCACGTCTTTCCCGCACCGACCTTGAATCTGAAGCAACCGCAAACTATTCCTTGCAAGTATCGACACGCCCGCTCCACAGCGTTTTTTCGATGGTCATTTCAGTTTCTTTATAAGCCGTTCGCACACTTTAACTCATCGCCTGGGCTTCCCCTCGTCAAACAACGCAGGCAACAATTTTCAGCCAGCTATTTCAAGCATATCCTTCACGATTTTGAGATTAAGCATTCACATTTTTGAAGAAACTTGTAGTATTCCAAAGATAATTGACGAGTGGATTAAACGACTCGTATTAGCGATTCATAAGCTAGAAATAAACATACTTCTAAAACTGGATACTGTTTTTTGTATTTATATATGAAGCGGACTGGTTGAGCTTTGGCTTTGGCTTTATTTGGCCAAAACTAACGCTTTACAACTAGTTGCTTGAATCTTAAATAGTTTCAGACGTGTATCAATTCGCAAAGTATATATATATACATATATAATATTTGTGAATCGCTACACGTCTGAAACTATTCAAGATTAAAGCAAGTAGCCGAAGAGCACTTGTTCCGACAAGATAAAGCCAAAGCTATATATACACATAAAGTCCTGAATTCAGCGCTCTTGTTGCCGATCCGCTCAAAGTTTAATAGATTCAAACCTATGTGCCCAATGAGGATTTTCGAGTCACGTTGGCGCCTTGAGCCTGTCGGTTATCGTCTAGTATGCTTCAAACGTTTTGCTCAATTCCATTACGAATTTGCAATCGGGAAACTCAGAATGATATGCTGATCATTATTCCTACAGTTTCCATTTTATACCCGACGGATCGGTTGCAAGCTGCTTGTTACATGATTTTCAAATTGTATGGTCCTTGCTGTTATTCGTGTTTGTATAATTGCTTGTAATCATATTACTACTGAAGTTTGTTTTCATGGCGCTCATTTCGTCAACTGATGCGAAATAATTGTAATAATAAGGCAACCTTCTGGTACACAAGTGGTATTGTATTGTATACCTGTGGTAAAAATTTCATAATATATTTTCTATTTGTAGATCCTGCGCTCTCATCCCGCAAGCTATCCCGTTGAAATTAGCTGCATAGATTCTTACATACTGAGTAAACGGTAAAAACAGCAAATTCTATATAGATACATATAGATAAGTGTAGTGGACGTATATATTTGTGAAATCAAAGATAGAGCAAAAGGAGTAAGGAGGGGCTCAAAGAAATTTATCTATTTCAGTGCGGATGGGAATTATGAAGTAACAATCATGACCAAGGCCATTATTAACAACGAGGGAACTGTCATCTGGAATCCACCTGCCATCTATAAAAGCAGCTGTTTAATGGATGTTCAATATTTTCCCTTCGACCAGCAACTATGTAGCATGAAATTCGGTTCATGGACCTACGACGGTTTTATGGTAAAAGTTTATTAAACTAAACAACGCAAACCATATTGCTAAGATACTAAAATAACTAAAAAGCTTTGTGCCTTTATCAACCTCTTAATCTCAGATTACTTATCTGCCTCAAACTGTTTATTGTAAAAAATTACACAATTTAGTTTGTATAAAATAAATATCATATAGTCTTCTATAATCTAGCATCTTATATGGCTTAGCAAAAAAGGATGCATATCAGTAGTACAGTAGATAAACCATCAGAGACTATCTTCTAAGTAGCCTTCAAAGCAGCAAACCAAACTAAATGTATGTCATTTGAAAAACAAGTGCAAACGTCGCCTTATATATACGTATATGTTAGTACGCTATAATATAATTGCAATATTCGTAGAATTATCATTACTAATACATGCTTTAGAACATTTATAGACTGTTATTACTATATTTTCGACTTCTCTTATTTTTTAGGAATTTAAACTGTAAGACATGTTGAAAAAGATTTTTATTGCAAATACGTAACAATTAATGACTCGTTCAAAATATGAACAGAACATACGAATGAAAAATCTGCTCTGTGGTAATATTTAATTACTTGTGTTTATTTTGTTATAGGTGGATCTGAAACACATCAGGGACGTGCACAGCGTGGATCTAGTGCCACTTGGTATAGATCTCACAGAATTCTACCTTTCTGTAGAATGGGATATCATGTCAGTGCCCGCTAAAAGGACTGAAAAATTTTACGCATGCTGTGAAGAACCTTACCCTGACATCACGTTCAACATTACACTACGACGTAAAACACTCTTCTATACTGTCAATCTTATTATCCCTTGTGTGGGCATTTCCTGCTTGTCAATTCTGGTCTTCTACCTGCCGTCAGATTCGGGGGAAAAGGTTTCCCTCTCTATTTCCATCATGCTGTCGCTCACGTTCTTCTTACTCGTGCTAGTTGAAATCATTCCACCGACGTCGCTTGCAATGCCGCTATTAGGAAAATATCTGGTAAGTGGTTTTCAACGTTAGATTTATAGGCCACTTCTTCTTTTTGAGCAATGCCCAAAACAGGTAAAAGGATTTTAGGTATATGCTTATAAAAACATTGTTGCCCTAACCGGCCCACATACAAAGGAGGACATCTAAATCTATGCTTCTGAGTTGTTTTTATAGCTGTATCTAGAAAACAAAAAAAAGATAAGCATGTGCTAGATATGTCGGTGCTGGTAATCATATTTATTTAAGAAGACCATCATTCGCCGCAATTATGCCTTCAATTTAGGACCTAAACCACTAGTTACTTTCAGTATTCTTTTTTCGATCCACAAGTAACTTTCTAATATAAATCATGAATAAGCGATATTGGTAGGTTTGAACTCATTTAAATCTCGCTTAAATACGCTACATACAAATTTTGGATTGGTAGCGGGCTAAAGAGCTCAAAGCGGCCAATAAACACAAAGGATGCAAACACCGAAGACAATTTTATAAAGATTAACAGTTTAAACTTATCTAAACGACCCGATAGGCAATTAATAATTTGCTTTTAAAAACGACCGTTAATTACTATATAAAAGATCCGGATGTATCAAGAATATCTCCTAAAGATATTTTGAGGAATTTTTAAGCCCTTTAAGTTTAAGCTATTCTGAGTATTTTCTGATTTGCCCCTTGGAAATTTTTCGTGGATTTTTTAAATCTACATAAAAAGAGCTGAAAAAAGTTGATACTCATGGTTTTGCGTAAATACGTTGAATAATATAGTAGCTGATGTTCGTTCAAATTCCAAAAACGACGCATTATCTTTGTCATAATGTGGTTACTGTCTAAAAAAAATATTTTTTCGGTACTAAGAATAGTGACGAAATGCATGCCTGCTACGACAAGAAGCCTACCAAAGATTGTCCGGACTTGAGTGCCCTACTCTGTACATTCTGTGGTAATCAGGGGCTCATAATGATAATTATTAATATTATTACTTACTGTGAGTACCTTGTATTAATTCTCCTTAGGTTCTTTGTTTGAAAACGCGATTTGCTTTTCATGTCAGTGATTGATGTTACTATCATGTTATGATTGATGTTATCTATTGTTATCTCTTAGAAAATATAACCGGCCAGCTTCATTTACAGACCGTACTGACTCGAAGATTACGGAGCAATTACTGTTTTGCTGATTGGGTTTTCTATATAAAGCATATCAAATATTTACCGGTCTACACTGCTCAAGGACGCATTTTTGAGAAGACTACTTACGCTTTCTCAAAAAAGGCCAACACGAATGTTTTTTCAGTACTATATCTTGCTGGGGCCCGATATTTTCTTCCAGCGTCCTTTCAGTTTGTTTCATAGCTTTCCTACACACTAATAGAGTATTATAGACGTTATTCACTTATTGGTTTCCTTTGTAGACAGTACTGGAAGTTTGTCTAAATATCTCAAAACTACCCCTCTGTTAAATTGTCTTGCTACTTTTTATGATCGTGATTCTATCGGACTAGAGAACAATTATAGGCTTTTCTTTGGCCTTTTTTACTTTTTGACTGCTAGGTTTTGGAATACCTTCTGCGCAGCCTCCTTTTTATGTAAAATATCCCGATCACGAAAACGTTGCAGGTCTGTGAATACACAGACTCCACAGCTTGAGAAGGGTTTAAAGCATAGCATCCTGTACCGTTTTTGAATGACTGTTGCTATATGAAAGCAATGATTTAACGTACACTGGTTCTAAAGCTAACAAATTAATTTCTCGGGAACATTCAATAACTGTGTTCTGTTTCGCTCTGACTGCTCCGTTGCAAACTGTAATCAGTGTAATTAATAGAAAGCAATCGACATCATGTTCGCTTTTGCCTACTTCATAACTCATAAGATAGTTGTTTACATATATTCGTGTTCTTTTATTCGACCCCTTGTCTCTTTTTATTATTTGCCTATCAATCCAATTGTCGACAGTGGCTAAACATGAGCCATTCTAACAATCTTTGGACTTACACACACTCGTTTTACTCGTTTAAAATGTGAACTCTTTCCCTTAGCCGTGACACCATATGAGTAGAAATGTAAGGTTTTCAAGACATAGTTTGGTGAAGAATATGAGGCATTTATTAAATTTAGCTTTTAAATCTTCCTATAGTAGTTTTAGTATCATTAAACCTTATTTTTCTGATGTAGAAGCCACAAGCTTCCAAAATCACCTTCAGCAAAAAGAACAAAACGATTTTCAAATGCATATTCTTAAAGCTTTTAGCAAAGCAAAGGCAGAACCAAACCGTTTTATGCACAGGTAAAATTAAGTTAGGCTAGTATTATTCGAGGTACGCTTTCAGTTATCAAGTTGTCGAAAAAGTATTGACTGTTTAGGGCTAAAATTGAAGCCATTATTTATGCATTGACATAATATTACTAAGCTAAATTGGGGGAGCTCTGCAGAGGTGGATTCCTATCTAAGCGCTCTTAATTTTAGATTAAGATGTATGTGGGTCGAAGACGACGCTTTTGCAGTTCACTATCTCCGGTCGGTTGTTTTAAATAACTTGTTGTAACCAGCGGAATTTCGAGCCAGTTATTTTGCCGGGTGGCAGGCCCATTATGCACGCTTCCTTTCCAATATCATCAAACACAGCATAATTTTCTTTGATGCCAGTGTGAGCTTTGCCAAGAATGTGGAGCACGTTTTTTTGTTAATTTCTACATTATTGTCGTAGGTGATACGTCTTTTTATCACTCATAATCAATCCCTTTAGTAATTGCTTAATTTTGTTACGCTTCTGTAGAGCTTCGCAAATCGAAGTGCGATCAAATAACTTATTTCGTATTGATTCGTATAATATCAGGCTTTTTTTAAATGGTCTGAATCTGGTTTGTTTCTTGGCGATATCATGGCTATTCACATGCCGGTTTTCCTTAGCTTTCGCAATCATTTCATGAAGTTTCTTTGTGATACGTTTATTACTACGAGAAGCTTTTTTTGCATCAATTTCCAAAACGAAACCGACAGAACTATTTTTAGGCGTATTTTTTAAACGCGTTTTCACCACAAACAATATATATATATATATATATATATTATGCGTCTGAACAAGAATTGGACTTCTATATATCCTACAATTTCATTATAATTAACTGCAATTTTTTTCTAAAACTACGCTCATCTTCAAAGCGTTCTATTTTAGCCTTGAGTAAAGGCATTTCAACACTCTTAGTACATCTACCACTACTGAAATACAGTTTTCAATTTACATTACGCCGACCAGACTGGACTCGTATTACCTGAGATATGTGACTTTAAAGCCATTTAATTATAAAAATAGTTAATACCTTTTCAGAAATTATACATTGATATATATATATATATATATATATATATATATATATATATAGTAACTTTAGTAAACAAATCAGATATTACATTTTGTATTGTGTCAAGCATGTAATTCTGATTTTCATCAACTCTTTGATATAAGATTTTGGGTCCCTATTTTATCTGAAAGCTCTAAACTGCCATAATAATTGCATGAGACAGCCATCAAGAGAGTTCATTGAATTCTAGTAACCGCAATTATCCTTGATTCATGAATAAATTTTCCAACTAATTTGCGGAACGTTTGTGAGGATACACCTCTGATCAGCCGAAAATGGAATCAATGAAACCTCTTTGGGGTTTGCGGATTTCTATTTCTTTGTTTTGCTATTTTTTTTCCACTCTCTCGACGGTTGGGCAAATAGTCATGAAAATTCGTTGTTTGTGTCTAACTGTACCAGAGCTGGACCTAAGACTAAGTTATTTATAGAAGCTTGGCTAGTAGTAGAATAATTATAGTAATTAAAATGTATTTTTCTTTAAAAAAGGTTATCGGCAATTATCGGATTATTGTATTAATACAAACTGGGGCATAAAACTAACTACTTTGTAGTATCGAAACGTCTGGCACAGCTTTGTATTGCATGTATTGTACTCTGTGTTGTATTACATGCACGACACATCTGCAAGCGTAATTAGGTGTATTTATTAGAATAATAGGTTCCATTCTATATATAATGATAACTATTGTCGTTCTATGTTTTATTGTTGTATCGATAACTTCAAAAGCGTGCTAATGACATCAGTTTTTCCAGATGGCTCGTCCAGATAACTGAAAAATTATGCCTTAGAAAACCAATTTTCACCCACAAAATTTTTAATAAGTATCCTGCAGAGTTGACTTACATACCTTTACAGGTAATGTTACCATGTTGGGCGTCAATTTTCGCGCTACGTGAGGGTATGTTGAACCTAGCCATGAAACGTTAACCATAACAATACAAAAAAGCATTGAGGGACAATCCTAGGGCGGGAGTGATTAGTGAGACTGGGCAACGGGTAGTTGCAAGTAAATGATTGAGGCAGAAAACAGCCAGCGGCTTAGAAAAAACATATTCGTTTGTTAATGAATTCGTTAATACACGTGCCGTATGATGACATTGCTCTAGTATCAGCAGTAGATCGCCACAGGAATTGCTAGTATGACTACCCCTACAAGTTTGGCAATTAATTTTTGTTACAGTGGTGCACGTAAGCATGTTAGCTATTGTTTTATGATTGCTTGAGCAGCGCACGGGAGACTTTTTATGTGAACAGATCATTTATACACAGCTTTTGTGACTACACATTTTGGTAAAATGTTGTTTTCAGAGCTAATATTTATCTCGACTGTGTCGAATATTAGTGTTTTCAAACTTGGGACATGCTTGTTGATACGTTTGAACACGTGCGTGTGAATAACGTCTGTCGAAGATTATTCGTATTTTATTTCTATCCTCACATTTGAAGGCACCATGTTTTGTACATGCATACCCAAGCATCTTAAGCTTTTCTGTGTTTTTTTTTCAAACTTAAATATTATATGGAAGCCGCTTATGTCATGAATGGCTATGTATACATCTTGAATAACCTGATATACAAGGTTGGATACCAAGAAACGGAAGATGCAGTTGGAGCGACGCCTCGCGCAGAGAACTATATCGGTCACTTGTTATGTGTATTTTAAAGTAACTATCGTGGCATTATAGTAAATTAGCATTATAGTAGCCTAAATTATGAATAGTTCTTTCTGTTTGCTGGCTAATAGAGTATGCATATTGATATTTTCGCTCTTAAAGTGTAAAGCGGTACATTTTTAACCCATAGTTACAAATTCAACATATTGGTCCACCCAAGAAAACCTGACTGGAGCACCTTGCAATAGCAAGCTGTCATTGTCTACATTTACTCTTCCATTTATTTCTAATTTTTACAAATACCTATAGAAGTAGTAGAAGGACAAACCATGGTAGCTCTGACTTTATTTAAGCACTAACCAGTTACGGTCGTTGGAAAACTGTAGACCCATTTGACCAATCGATCACTGTTGCCGCAGTCAAAAAGCATTTGGAGAAGCTTAGAATGAATGACTCTTTTAAATGTTGACCTGAAGCCCAAGCGTGCTGCGTCAAAACAGTGAGTGATGAACCTTGCCCATTTGAATCCTGGATCGGTGCTGCAGATCAGTGTTTCGTCTCGATCTGTGGATAAACTGACTACATTTGTGTAATTCTAAGGGCTTGTCTACACAGGTGGACTGCTTTAAGTCAGCCCGAAATCATACCGGCAGAACCTAATTTTACATTTTTTTATTCTTGTTAAATAAATACCTAAAGCCACTTGGGGGCCTGGTACCTGTTCTTTTAATGGATTACCTTTTTCAGGATAGAAGGCCATAATTTTCCAAGGGGCAGCAGCTTTGCGAACTTCACAATTCGTATATGAGGTTCATTTTGGAATGCCTTGACTTCCTTCGATTTTTACGGTTTGGAAAGGCCCTATGGACCCTTATATTGTTTGTTAACCTTTTTCAAACCATTTGCTGCTCCTTGGGATGTAACCATCGACACCTAGAGGAAGCCTCTGCTGTTGAAATGTCTCCGCCCCGCATCAATTAGAGTATATAATGCAATCAAACATTTAATCGGGTCGCTGTACCGAGAATTGCAATGATGTTATGCAGAACCGAGGGTATATTTTGTATGCATGTTGGATTTTCGATCTTTTAAAGAAGTTTTTGAAGTACAGAACCGCACTAAATGGTACGAGCATCTTCTTTGGTGTGCCGTAATTCTCTAGTGCTTTTATGAGGATATATAAGACTTAGTAAATGACGCGGTTTTAATCGTTGTAGCTCTTTTTTTCTAAGTCGAGTGGTTGTGGTAAGCCTAAAGATCTTGGAAAAATTCAGAAAACTAAATCCAGGTTCTCGATATTTTTGTCTTCAACATTTTAAAGTCTATATGTTCTTCCACCCAATTAAACTTAACTCCTTTCAACGTAAGTTCGATGAGTAATCTTTGAAGAGCCGATAACGGGACCGCAACGAATAATCGCAGTACTGGGCGTAAACGCCTAAGCATTTATAGCGACATGCAAAAATAGGTGAATAAAAGTTGTACTCGTTTTACATTCGACGATTTTTTGATGTAAAAATCCTCTCGACAGATTCTTGGTCGATCGCGTATTATCATTGATTGGTGTCTCAAAAATGCGATCTATCTCTGGGATTAATATTTTAAAATTTGCATTGCTAGGACTCATGCAAATACTACCTAAGTATCCTTGATAATCCACTTCATATCTTGAAAAGACATTACTATGAATGCACCCATATGTCCAATGGGAACGCATCGTGCATTTGATCTTTTGCAAGTACAAAGAGTTTTGTACATCAAATGAAGTTACATTGTATACAAATGTTTTACATAGTGGAAAGCCTTTTCTATTGTACGATCAGTTATAATTCTTGAGGAAGATTGAGTGTGGAAAACACTTCGCAGCCTTTTATATTTTTAAGGATTCAATATACGTTTGGTAAAGCCCAACCTAGTTGACATAAACTCGCTAGATTTAGTTGGATTTTAACATAAGGACTGCTAGAGAATTAAGCTTTAGGTTGGACAAGGTTCTGTCTCATACTTTACTCCGCAAGGTTCCTACCATATACCAGCATCATTCGCAGATCATATCGTTTCATAGCAAAGCATGGGTTTTAAATTTGCTCAGATCCAACCGTCAATTCTCGTTTTTGGAAAGTTTTTAGGAAGTATGGTATTGGTGGCTAATGCATATCTGTCACTGCGTTGCCATGGTAGCTATAACTAACAACCATAGCACCGCGTTGGTTCAAACCTTAGCATTACCAAAAATTATTACCAGATATTGATAATTTGGATAAGAGGGAATCAATAAAAATTAGAGTATTAAGGAAAATATGAAACTAAAGAAAGGAAGGTATTATAAAGATTAAAGGTAACGTGTATAGTTACCATACCGTTTCATAAGTCTGTTGGTGAAGTCCTAATTAAATACAGCTACATCAACTTTGGTTAGACTCTTCTTATTCAAATCTATTCAAACACTTATCGCTTCAAGACAAGTTGGTAGGGAACCTATTCTCGCGCAAATTGGCAAGATTGAATTTTCTGTTTTAAAAATCTGAATACAGTTTGAGCCAAGATCACCCATGTTATTCCGATAATCAATATGTAATTTCAAACGAAGTATCGTCAATAGACATTCTCTTATTCCAACATTCTATAAGCATATATACGAAACGGAACCCGCCTCCTAAGTTTTCTGGACATTTGACTTTATCATGCCCGAGCTACAAATTTTCTAGCTTCCACCCATCTTTAAATAGCAAAAACTCAGGAGTATTTGATCCGGACTTATAAATAAAAACTCAACCGGCAAAAAATATGCATATTCCTGAAGTCCAACACCAAATATTAATGATCGACGAGGCTTCTTTAGGCAACCCCATCCGTGCCGAAGTCAGTGTTTTCCAATGTTCTTCGCAGAAAAGTATTTTACAGGACTCGTATATCAATCTCCTTCACTTTCACTTCTAGTTTTTTTAAGGAGCATCCTCTATGTGCATATTCAAAACTTTTACCAAACAAAACGAGTGTACATATAGAGAGAAACCCTGAACTTAAGGGGATTAAAACTATCAGTCAGATAGCCAGATCTACGTTCGTATAAAACGAAGAAGATCGAGTACGTTCATATAAAACCGTGTCTGTGACGTGGTGGGATCTGTACATGGCATATCGTGAAGTTATTATAATATTGAGGTCAAAGCTTGGGACAAGTGAATACGTAGTAGTTTCGCTTTCCAGTTCACTAAATCGATAAGTACCTGTTGTCTTTAGGATGAATTAACGTTAGAGATCTTTAGTGAAACGTGACATATTAACGGTAAGGTAAACTACCCTTTTGAAATGTGTATCATAAACCAACTTAAGTGAGTGCCGTAGGTAGCTGTGGATTCGGTTTTTCGATTAAAATGCAAATAGCTGTGGCAGGTGAATCATTTTAAGGGTCTCCACTCTAGCCGTTTATAATCAAAGTTTTTCGAACCTGTTTATTTGCTTACATTTGCAACAAATTTTAGGTTCAGGTAAAGCTGACAACTCACAAATTTTATTATTGTCTTTTGCAGTTTTATTCCCTTTAATCTAGCATTACCAACATTGGCTCCAAACATCGTTCCCAGCATTTTTATCTCTAGATTCGATTCATAATGAGTCAAAGCTGATAATGCTTGTTGCAGTACAAAACGGCTCATTGGACACGTGAATAAATACTTCCATACGCAAAAATGCCTTGCTTGTAAAGATGTCCTGCTTAAAAATTTTTTGATATGCTGCTCACGCCCACATAAAAAAAAATGGGATTAAGATTATCTGCTCAAACAACCCTAGTTGTTGGGCGGAACTGAAGACTCTCAACTACCCATTGTCCTTCAAGGGACGCAATTCACCGACAAAATTGACATTAAAATATTGGAGGAAATTCAGCTATTTCATTTAATTTCCAGTACACATAATTAAACTAAAAGTAAAAAGCCGTTTTCCTCAGCAAGAATTTGGCCGTCGTCAGCAAAGTACTGGTACTGCAATCACGACTGCTCTCTTCCAGCGCTGTCATACCTCATAGCTACTGTTGCGCGGGCTATCTCTTATGAAAATGCTGCGTTGAAGCTTAATATAATTGCTCACACCAACTGAAGGGGCATATACGAAGGATGACTGGCAAGCGTGCGTACCTGATATCTCCTGTAATAGTTTTCTAAGAGTAACAATACTTGAGTCACTCTTGTCTGGAAGTTGGCGAAGGGTACCACATTTCTACTTAGATATGGGCTATTCCAGCGTCAGTGTTGTCGCTTGGCACAAACTGACTGTGTATTCCTCTCTTCTGACTGAATAGCAAGAAAAGGTCAATTATGTATTTCCATGTAATATGTAAAAATCGAAAGCAATAGGCAAACAAATACTACAATTATAGTAATAATGATTCTTTGGTGTGAAGATTAAAAACTTGAATATACGCTGAATTTCTCTAACCAATACTGACTAAACGAGTTTACCTTGCAAAAAATAACACAATCCATTCACTGAACTATGTGCAGGTGTTTACGATGATCTTAGTGACGGTGAGCGTCCTTGTTGCGATTGCTGTGCTGAACGTGCATTTCCGATCACCATCAACACACAAGATGTCACCATGGGTACGACGTGTATTTATTCGTGTCCTCCCAAGACTACTTCTCATGCGATCTCCACAGTATAAAATTGAGATCGAGGATGAAACTACTCAGCATCCATCGAATGTGCCTGCCAGCGTGTCACAAATTTGTCGTGATAACTTTCATCTGCCCAGGTGCTTACATTTCCTCTCATTATAAGCTGGGCTCTGTCATTATTCCTTTCACACAGTACGTATTAAGTAATAATTATACACTTCAGCAGGGAACAGAACCCAGATCTAAAATCCATAATTGAGGACATGAAAGCAGAATTGAATAGACATAAATAAAGCGATTACATCTTTGAAGTATTAAAGTTTTATATAAAAAAGAGCGATAAACGTAACAGAATGTGAAAACTATACGAGAATAACAAAATAGTATGTTGATTGATCGAAGCAAGAAATACATTGAAAAACGCTGAGAAATGGGTAGGCTGATCTGCAACGCGGGCGCTCGGGTGACGATCCGGTAAAGCGGACGAAACAGTTTTACATAAGCCACAAATGGTTAAGCGTTAAAGATCGGAATTGTGGGCTAATGATAATGTACAGGTTACGAATAAAATAGCCTCAGAGTTAAAGATAACAGTAAAAACGTTTATGCAACAGACAGTGTCAAATTTATTGTAAATATTTTTGTTATACAATATGCACAAATAATACAAATAATATGAAAAAGTCTAAATATCTTGGAGAGTTAGGGTCGCGTAACGCAGTAGATAGTACGCAGGAGCAGTGGCGGTCTTGTAATGTTGTAATGTTTAAACGGTTCTCGATGAACGGTTACGAACGAACTGATGGAGTCTAAAGCCGTTGTTGAATGATCGGTTGTCAAAAAAACTGAGCTTCTTATTTAAAGACAAAGCACACGTAGAAGTCAACAGAGGATATTTACTACATCGTTAATTATTGGCTTCCAGTACTAAAGTTTGATTAGTTTTATACACATTGCTCATCTTACATTAACCTTATACATTGGGATATAGACAAGTTTCATTTCGTGTTGAGGGGCAACCATCTAAAGTTATGCTTAACCAGACGTAAATTTTTAAATATATATATATATATATAAAGAGTATCAGCTTATGTCCGAATCTACTTAACGGTACCGCGGAAGTTACTATTTTCATTCTATGCAGTTGCTTTGTCTCATGCTTCCTTAGTGGGCGACACAAACCGGTCCGTATTTCGTATATAAACATGGTGTTCCTAACCGGGTTTCTTAACCGAGTAATAGTTAAGCAAACTGTCTTTAGAGTAAACCAGACGTGCTTTACCTCTACTGAGCATATTGCGTAAGCAATTATTTTTTTTTCATTGTCTGCATTTTTTTTTACAATTTTATACGACGTGCTTCAAAGAATCCCATTTTAAGCCAAAAGGAAGCGCATTTCCCATGCTATATTTTGCTTAAAGGTTTTGATAATAGCAACTCTTCCGTTTGAAATCCTGGGGTGTAATTGTAATCCTCTGTCGTGAATCTTCAATTTCTGTTCTTAAGAGTTATTTACAGTAACAAATTATTATTTCGCTGAAGGCCTCTTCATCCGTGTTTTCACCAATCTTTGGTCCATTTCATGTGCATTCTCACCTTCGAAGTAAAAACCTGAACCACCAAGTGTTAATTTTCAGCATTAAACAATATCTTTCGCATTAGCTCATTATTTTCGAAAAACTTTGTCAGCTATTGATGGTAAAGGGCCAAGAACTTGGCATAAATATTTACCAAACGTTACCTGCTAATAGTCGGTAGTTTCAATGCTATTCAAAATGTCTGATCTGCTATTAACTCTAAATAAGCTAATATATTCAACGGATTTGTGAAGTTTAAGATAACACTAGACACGGATAAATTATAGGAAATTGTAGGCCTAAAATTTATTAATATTGGAGTACAAATACAGGAGCAAATTGGAACAATTTAAAGTCAATTCCGGCATTTCACTAACCATAAATGTATACTATGTATAGAAATTAGATTATATGCAAAAATAAATTTACATTTATTAATGTGGAGAAGTATCAAGTTTGTGGTAAGACGAACTGCAGTAACCTATTTTTAGAACACGTGTTTTACGCTTTCCGATTTAAGCAACAGATTCATACGACTGAATTATAAAAAATACAAACAAAGCGTGAAGTTCCCCTACGATATGGTGAACATCAAGATATTTCAGGGAAAAATATCAAATTGGAAATCGACGAATAATGTAGTTTATACAAGACGAAGAGACTAAATAGAGACTATTGTTCGTGTTTGTTTCTAGCATTGTACTTGAACGAAAATAGTATCATTCCTAATGGTCATGTTTAGACAATGTAACCGCCATTCAGTACGATTAGAATATTAACTCGGACCCTAAACGGTTTACACATTCGTTTCGAATGTGTGAATATGCGCGTGTTACTTAACATCATCAGCGAAACACTTTATGTTGTCGGATCAAGATCTCGCTGAATAACTGAATAACTGCAGCCATACGTACTTATTCAAAATCATGCTAGCACTCCCTTGCAACTCTACGCCAATCTACTACTATGAGCCAGTACACCATCTGGTTAGAAGACGTAAGGCTTTCTTCTAGACACTTTAGCCGTCAATAATTTTACAGTTTCTTGTAGAACAGGCAAATAAACTCCTCTGATAGTAGGTTAGCCTTCCTGGAAGAAGTATGGTTGAATGAAATCTTCATTAGACACGACACTCCGAACATGCACATTGGCCTTTATTCATAATGGCCGCATCCTCAGGATGCTGAGCACGCAACCGATCATTACTTTGGTTAAAGTTTGCATCCGGAATAGGGGTTCTATCATCAATGAAGAATCGAGGACAACCTGCTACCTCGTTTTTAAAAGTACTAAGGGGCAAACGACACCGCTCTTTGTTTGTTATAAATTTTGGAACCTGCTTCATCTGTAACCGCACGCTCATTTGCAATATCGCACACGATCAATTTGGCACAAACTGAGAAGCTTATAATGTTGGTGGAAGTTTGTTCACGGGTGAGGGTTGGATAATACCCAATCATCCCTCAAATCCGGAAAACGACCCACTGTCTTTTGTTATGGAAGGAAATTTGCTTATATCTTCTTCAGAACGACTTTTTATCTAGTAATACCAATTTCAGATAAACATATCCGCGAAACGGCAAGAAATCACTTGGAAAGACCCGAGTTTAGTAAATTTATGTTCGTCCTAATTGATTCGCGGCGCCTAACTGTTATAGGACAAATTTCTAAGCTGTGACATTAGGGCATAGAACAGATACATACCGAATCGCACCCGTGTCTCGATTAGACAACACAATTTTTTCCCTACCGAAATGTACAAATTAGGTCTTCGCTTAACCATTGGGGAGGCACCAGCGAGGCGTATTAATACGGTGTCATTACCTGCAATGTAGTCTACCAACTAACGCATCGCAACGCGCTTCACCTTCACTTTGTTAGTACAGGATTTTAATTAAGGAGTCAACAACAGTGTACAGGAATGGGATGCTTTTGTTTCAGGAAAGGCAAGACAGGGTGATGTTTCTATATCATTTATATTAAATGTTCTTCATATAGGGTGTACAAAAAACAGTCTTACATCTTTTCTGACGAGGTCCCTAGTCGTTTTCTCATGTTTTCTATCGTGCTGTCTTTCAAGCTCACTATAATTGCGTAGTAGTAAATCGTAGTAACTGTGGTGGCACCGGTAATATAAGAACAAGGCGAATCGTAACCTCATTGTCAATATGTGGTGACCACAGTCACGAGAGTATCAAACTGTTTAAAGATGGTAGATACTGGCAGATATTTAGCACGTTATTCACAATCCTATCGCCATGATGACACAGTGGGTAACGTGCTTGCTAAGCATAAAAACACGAGATGGTCTATGTTTGAATGCAGTCGTAGACATACTTCTTTACGTTCTGAGAGCCAGCCGTTTGAAGTAATGCTTTATTAAGTATTAGGCGTAAAAAAAGGAAAAACTTTTCTTAGATCTCTGCGAATATTATTATATTTAGTGAGAATTTAATAAGTATGATTAGATTATCGCCATATGGGTGAATATTGAAAATCTTATAATAACTTCAAGGTAATTATAAGACGTATTATGAAAAACTGCTAATTTTTATGAAAACAAAAACATAAACCATGCACACACATATAGATAAACTGAGTTATTTGTACAAAAACTTGCTACTAGTTTATCGCGGAACTGGTGTATTAGGACGTTACAAGCCAAATAGCATATAAAAAGATTATTTGTACCAGATTTATGTTAGCATATAAGACTTGCTGTTTGGTGGACACTTTGGTGCTCGATAAGAAATGTTGAAAAATGAACCTTCAGTTATAAAGCTATTTATACATAGGACACTTTGGTGGAGCGTGCCAATAAACAACTATATATAACTGCTATGTAGTGAAACGAACTCTGCATACTTTTAGGAAGCCATTTTTGCTTTTTAAGTGAAATGTACACCAACCAATATACTGTCAGAATAATATAACGCAATAAGTGAGTAGTAGAATTTAACTCGAATTACACAATAAAGGAGAAGCAGTGTACTAGGGTAATAAAAGTAAGACATTCTAAGTCGGGCGAAAAATTGCCTATATTGAGTTTGAATGTGACATGAAAATACACTTGGCATCATCTGGAGAGATATAATGACTTCAAATGTGCGAGACGTAATGCGTTTTCAGGTGTCGCAACAATAACTCAGCGGCTGCGCAATTTGATATGGTGGCTCCTCCTCTACCCGCTCATCTTTACAGTAGCAGTGATAAACGTAGCCAACAGTATGGTGCTGGGGTCCCAGAGGGGATAGCGGGCTCTCCACCTCTATCGCCACTGAGAACGGTGGGCGAGCCAATCGGCATGCCATTGGCTGAAGAGCTTTTACTCGCAGAACTGGATACTTCGCCAAATCTCGACCGACAGCATTTTCCGCGAGAGCTCGAAAAAGCAATTCATTATGCTATGTTTATCGCTCAGCACATCGACAACAATGATGACTTTGAAAGCGTAAGACAGAATTTTTAACTTACTTCAGACAATGATTGTAGTTGATTTCAACTAGATGTGGGTAACTATAGAGTCTTATCACTTTTCAACCTTGATTTTTGCTTTGCAACGGCCTCTTTTTTAAATGTGTACGTTATTATAATTCCAATTTTTAAAGTAAACTAGAAATTCAAAGAAGCCCTGGTACTTTTTTGGCCTTTTTCTCTGTAGCCTGAGCGCATACAAAAATAAGATCTAAACATAATATTTTTGACCTTATGCTTGTTGAATATATTGGTGTGAATTAAGATTCTAAATTTAAAAGTTAATGTAGTGAAAGAGGTGATGTAGAGAGATAATTTTTACTATATCTGTTTCATTGTCTGAGCCACCAAGATTGATCTGAATTCGACATAGGCCCGATTGTAGGCTCAAGTTGTTTATTACACACTATTGCGAAAGTGGTCAAACTCTACTACCATTTGAATATTCCGATAAACGTCCAATTTACGAACAACTATGAAACAAAGGCTGACTAACAAATTTAATTTGATGACCAATAAACAGTTCAGTGATGAGTGGAGCCGAGAGAGCTCCTGCCTTTCTATTCTTTCCATCCTGTTTACCAGTCCTCTATCTTTCATTCGAAATATTTTACCAGACACCAGTCGACTACATGGTATAGTTAAAGACTTGCTTATAAAATGCTTCCTGAAGAGCTTTGTTTCTCACTGGCTGATTAAGGGCTGGCCTCTGCTGATACTGCCCTCAACTCGGTCCTTTCACCTACACGGTGCACACTCTAAAAAACTGTTTCACATTTTACTTCCTGTACTGCTGTTAAGCATTGTATTAAACGGCTGGTTCCTAGCACAAAACGAAGTGTGCCTACGCCGTGTTTCAAATACAGACCGCAACGAAGCTTAGTTCGCAAATGTGTTACGCATGACCCATCATGAGCAATGCCCAGTCTGGCCTATGCTTGATTAGTACAGTTTCATCGTTAAATGAGCGGCTTAGATATATTTTATCTGCAATATGTAACCAGTAAATAATTGTTTGCATGGGGTTAGAAATTGCACTTTATGATTTCGGCATGAGTAGCTGTAATAGATAGCTATATAAAGAATAACCGTTAACGTATAAACTTGAGACACATGTATGTGATGGGGTTGTTAGATTTGTCAAATCACATGCATAGTTTCAACACGAGCATTTATCGTGGGGACTTACAGAGTTGATTCATTCGTACTCATTTATCAGGCAGAGTTTTGCAGTTATGCGAACGGCTCATTATTTAAAAACAGCTGTTGTATAATACAGAGCGATTTCATAAAAATAATGAAAGTCTGTAATGGGTTGATTCTTATCGATTTTCTCTATCCAAATGCAATTGTTATGTTTCAGCATTCAGAAGATATTAAATGGAAGGAGAGTAGAAGTCAACAATTAATTAAAGGGGTTAAAAAACTAGTTATATACAGAGATAAAACGTATTAAAGTAGGTTGCATATAATCAAGGTTTCGCAACAAATATTTACCGGGAAACATAGTTAATTACCGGTAAAACATGGAGGCGAGGTTGATCGCCAGTACCTAGTTGGCATAAATCTGTATTTATATTGAAATCCGAAGGTGTAGTAAAACTCAAAACGCTTAGTAGATACTCTGTGGGTATCATTTATACTCATAGAACTAAGACGTACTACGCAAGTTGGCAATCAAATAAAATATGCTTCTCATCGAATCCAGGGGCAAGACAGCGTCGCCTTGCAAGAGAACACAAACTAGTTTAATGAAGATTGTTCATGTAATGATAGTTATTAAAAATCAATGTGATGAAACATCTTTAGCTACAAATAAGGAACGAAGAGGTGTTGTTAGTTACTGTTTATCGTAATCATATCTCTGGGAAGACTAAAGTTTATTCCAGTTATATGGTTCCGTTAATTGTACAAAGACTGGTTGTAAGGTAATTTGTTCACAGTATTAAATATCTTCCTGAACTTTCCGACTAAAGAAGACATAATTCAATTATTTTAAAATCTATGAATGTGTGCTTCGCATTTTGTAAGCGCTTTAGAGTAAGTGATATTCGGCCGTTGGATTTTTATATATATGCTGAACGCTTTTGGTGACTAGGCTGTAAGTCAGTGTCGAGTTAATGAGTAACACCAGTGATTTCGAGACAAACGAAAAAGCTTTGTGACGATTCTGCTCTACAGAATTTTCTCGCACGATAACAACGTGAAAAAAAGTAAGGAGATTGTACTAAATCATGGCGCAGTAACCCTCAGAAAACCCGTGGGTTTTTTAACACGAGAATACATAGGCTCAAACGGGTTTGAAATCGGTTTTTTTTTACTAATTACCGCAAGGAAGTGGAGCATATTCAAAACGAGTAAACAGCAACACATGCTGCGTATTAGCCTCTTTGTTTAGTTACACAAGTTTCCAGGTAAACGTCGATGGTGCGTACAGTATCTGAAAACGTTGTCTGACGATTATGACAGGGTAAGAGCTTGAAATGCGACGGCCATTCCCGAATCATAACTGCTTGTGTCCCAGATTTCGAAAAAAAACATTAGTTACTAAATTAAAGTAGATGTTCAGGTCATATGCTCTTATCAGTAGTACGTTTTTAAGATATTGGCAGTGTTGAATTTTTTCTGTCTTTGGATGCTTCTTCCACTGATGTATCTTCGCCGAAGGTATCTCCCTGGAGTTGTGGTAGTTCTTTCCATACGGCTTGGTACGGTGGGACCCCGTCGGGTGACAATGGCTGCATTGCTAACAAAATATGTCACTATTATTCGTAAAAAAACTTTTAATTGTCGGTAAGTCCTAGTATCCCTCGACCGTCTCGTTAGCTTAACCTCTGTTCGCGACTTAAATAATAGCCAAAATTGCTAAGATACACATACAATACAGAGTTTCGTTTCGTGAGAGCCTGCGTGGATAGGATTATTTGTCTTTCAAATTTGGAGGTTGCGATTGAATTTGCCTATTATGGTGGTAGTACTGTATTGATCAATTGAACAGGCATAAAGAGAAAACCACTCAGACGCACTTCTTGGAATACCAAAAGGTTAACCTCTATGCTTATTATCCTAAAATATCCAATGTTATGTTTATAGAAAAAGACACTGCAACCTAGTCGCCCACTGATAGCTTGTTGTTGTAAGTAAATGAGCGCCATGGAATCGAGGCAGTTCTAATATTCAAGTTCTCACGCCTTTGTTAACATCAGCAAGTTAAGTTCCAGTGTTCACATCAACATCAGTAGGCCAACTGAGCTAAGCATAAGAGAACGGGCGGTCCCAGTGCAGAAATTTTAGAAAAAAAATGAAGGAATTGAAGAAAGTGAGACACCGTAGGTAACAGACTAGTTGTGTAGGTCACTGAAGGCATGTTTTAAAGTATACATAGTTTTCGCTACGTAACTGGAAATATCGTGGCGCCCACCGGGCTCACCTTAAATGATATGATTCGCTGAGATCAAGCAATTTCTTTTAAAGGATCATCAAATATACTGTACATGGTTTTGGACTCGACTTTGAGCGGTAGGCGGCGCTTTCTCCTAAAATATTTTGTACTAGTAACGTCGTAATAGAAGTCGACTTGCAAAATAAATAACATTTTTATACAATAACTAGCTCTCATCTTCGCTGGTTTAATTCGTTACTTTAAAATTTATATGTGCATGCAGTCTCCAAAACTTTGACATTTGTAATATTTATGCCTTCCTAAAAACTTCGCGAACGTGTCAAACTGGTAATTAGCTTCAATACGCTAAAAATATCCCGCTGTTTCTAATCGTTCGTGGATTGGTTTCACAGATTCGTGAAGATTGGAAGTATGTTGCAATGGTCCTTGATAGATTATTCCTATGGATATTCACGATCGCGTGTATCGTCGGGACTGCAGGCATCTTCCTCCAGGCGCCATCGTTGTACGACCAGACGGTACCGATCGATGTTAAGCACTCCCGTGTTGCTCGTCGCATGCTGCATGCAGCTCAACTCATCGACGACGACGAGTTAGACGTTGACCTGTAGACAGATATCTCAAGGCTTGTATTCTGGAATCGCCTAACGCGTAGCAAACTATTTTTGTTAAAACCAAAAAACCTCAGGCTGCTGTTTTTTAGCTTGTCAAAACATATTCTAGGGATCTCCAAAGGGCCCATATGAGCGGCCACATATGGATTTATGCACTTGTTAGCTTATTTTACGGCTAAATCTAGGCCCGCAGTAACAAAACACAAACATGTCGTCAGGCTTTTTTAGCCACAGAGATAATAAAGCTCAGTAATACCACTCATCCGAGTACGGCAGATGGTGTAAATTTGCTTCATAACCCCAAGAGTAACTAGATTTCTGTATTCGTGTGATGAAAACGTTGTTTTTGAGGAACTGTCTGTCGATTTATTAGGGCAAGAACAAAGCAGATTCTGGAAGTATTATGTACAAGGTGAATGAAGAGTTGCTGCGCAATGCGAAAATGGTAGTTTGACAATTATAACGTTCCTGACCAGCACCGTAGTAGGGTGAGTAAGTGTGGGGAATACAAGTATGACGTCACGAATTTAATCCTTTTAACAGAAGCTCAATTATTTTTTCAAGTTAAGTGCACTTTTATAGCTGCCTCTTCCTAACATTATGTATTCAAAATTGATCTTTATCGCTTGCTATATGAATATTGTTGGGATATTGATACTGAGAGACCTCGACCCTTATAACACAAATTTTGCCATATTTAACTGTTAAGGTGCTCTTTCACGACTGCACAGCGATTTTTAATAAACCTGTACATAGTAAATTCGGGATGCTATACATTATTCCTCATTTTTGGCCGAGTCATAATAGTGACGTGCCAAACCTTTCAATCTTCACATGCTTGATGGGGACGCCGATAGCTACGCGTACATTTGATAAAGACAAGACCAAACTATAATTTAAGAAATGCCTATCAACGCATCACATCATAATGCAAGCGCTTCACCTAATGTAATAGGAGTTGATGCTGAAAACTGTCTGTTAGTCTCACGAATACTGTACCGCAAGATGTAGCATAAAATTGTGTAATACGAAACACTCAACAATAGTTGAACTAGAAAGCTATTCAAGTGTGTCTCAGCCGAAATGAAGTGGTAAAAACAACTTTTTAAATATTTGCTGAAATTGTTTTTCTAATGCAGCTATTCCAAGATCAAAAATGTTCATTCACAAATACCAATCGATACACACCCCTTCAAAATGCTTGTAACTTTTTGCCAAAGATATCAACTAAATCATCCTGATATATTGACTTTTCTTGTCTAGAGGATACCGTTGACTTTATTTAAACGGTTAATGTGCAGCACGCAGAAACACGGTGTTATATGTTACCAAATATACTTGCATTTTCAGCTAGTTCTTCGAGCATAGTGAATAGGCAGCTTCTAGATGCAGTAAAATAAATGCATTTGAAAAAAAACAGCGGTTATGATAGTAGTATGGTTACTGAATAAAATGACAAAGTATCGTTTATCGTAAGATTATCTATGACTTAAACTTGTCTTCTTCTTGTTTAATATATACTGATATTTATCAGAATAAACATGCTCAGTTAGTCAATGTTTTTGTATAACAAAGGAAGCTATGGCAAAACATTGGCACGTCTACGTGCAATAAAATTGCATTATCTAATATATATTATTATTATTATATATTAATATTCCAATACAAATCCGGTCAACTACTAACGTATAGAGAAATGGCCGCAATCTACGTAAATATTAATAAACACATAAAAAACTTTATTCATGGGTGCTATTAGTGGTACTATTGCTTACTATTTTTACTAAATATATGTATTTGCATGTCCTAATGCGGAGAATTCGCTCTAACAGATAGCCATAAAAAAGGGGCTGCGACCGATTATAGCAATATTGCACGATGTACTCCTAGGCCACCGTTTACATTTGACCCACATTTATCTTTTTGTGACTCACATTTAAGATAGATCTTGCGCCTGATGTTGTTATATCTAGGAACTACCACTGTATTTAGCTCCTAGGAGCGGGTCTTCTACAGCAAAACTATTTATTATTAAAACAAAATATAATGCATAGGATTGAACCAGCAATCATGTTAGCACGCACGCCTAGTTGATAATTTTTATACTAATCTGTTCATGTGAAATACTTTTGGTAGGACATGTAAATTAGCACAACAGCTACTAACAAACTAGGACTAGTTAAGCAACGTTAGCCAACATTTTTAAAGGTATTAAAATCCACCGACTATAGCGTAAATTTCCAAGTGAAGTAAATCGTATAAGTTTTTCCATTAACCTTTATTTATTCTATTACAGTTCGATTACAGTAGGTACCGTTGATGTGTTAAGGAGATCTTAGACGTTATGCGCGGGCTTAGCTAGTGGGCAGATTTGACTTAGCGCAGGTGGGAAACAACTCAAAAATTTGTCAGCTTTTCAGCCTTGTGTCACAAGTTTCCGGACTTTCTCGAAACGACTCTCACGTTTTAATAACGTCAATCAGTTGGTTATATCTTTTTATACAAAGCGCTGTTGTTACATCACGTACAAATTACCGTTCAATTAAATCTCTCTTTTCCACCGTTGCTGCTACGCTGATCTATGCTTGTGTGCGTCTGTAGATCCGAGCTGGCCTTTGGACTAAACTAACTAGCGTCCTGCATGACCGTGCACATCAAGGTGACCTTTCTCCTATCGGATAAATAAATATCAATTCTTGAGAATTTTGAGCCAAAATTTAGGGCAGGGAAAGCAAAATTTTAAAGTTGAAGTCAAAATAATTTGTTTTACAAACAATAGCACTGATCGATTCTACGTACTCGATTCAAAAGATATTCATGCTAAAACAAGATTGTAGAAAAAGTATTAATACTCGTTTTTAGTACAAGTATTTCCTTGATAGACTATAAGCTCTACCGCCTTTTTCCTGCAGTAACAGAGTAATATTTTGAAGTTAGTAACATGTATTTGTATGGCATTGTATCAATAGTTTGATTAAACATGTATAATTCACTTCAGGTATTAAGAATTGAAAAGCGTTGTTCCTAGTTTCGCTAAGTACATAAAAAACTGTACTCCAGCACCATGAGTTTAAAGGAAGTATACTCTACTGGAAAAGTCCTATAGTAATTTGTAAAATTAAGAAATTATATACTGCAGTCCCATGCTTATATAGTTATTCTAAATTATTAAGTGATCGAGTAAATTCAAGTAGTGGCATACTGAATTTGAAAAAGGATCTACGTTCTTCTCATGTGTGAGTTCTTCTTTGAAAGACAAAATTTGAAATAGCAATGTATTCTTTAATTATTCCTCTATATAATGTAAATAAACATTCAGTGCTAGCAGAGAGAAGCATAAAAATTATTTGATACAACATTATCTCGGCTGGAGTGGCCGACTTTAGTTACACCGTACGGTTTACAGAAGACAATGTCTACAAATCTTTAAGTAGACATACCATTTTATTCCAATTCCTTATATTTCATTGAGTTGCTACACTGGAGGCTCCTTATGGCGTACATTTTTCGCTTCGTCGCAGACAGTCAAAGCTTCCGTAGTAGCTTCATTTCAATATATGAAATCCTGTTCCCGTAATTACTAAAGCCTTCCAACTTATCTGAAACATGCCATTTCCCATAAACCACCAGACCTGCGAAAGCCAGCTGCATCTATCTGTAAAAGCTGGACTTACGTTTGACATTGGTAAAATGGAGGTGTCTTTTAGGCCAGTACTTAAAAAACAACGCTCCTCTAAACGAGATACGTCCGCTTCCTCAATATATAGCAATTGGGTTGAGATTCTGAGAAATTACCATATTGTAGCTTCCATCCGGCCTCTTTTATGTTGTCCAAAAACCTTAAGAAGTCGCCACGGCTAGCTATACAATCATGTTTCCGTTGAAAAAATTCTAACGGAGATGGATTTAAACCGTCCAATAGGACGCCGTTCTAGCGATAATTATAGCCATTTTCACTTGCTGGGTGTGCTGTGGGGCCCTAAATCTTCTTTACTCCCTGCAGTTCTTCAAGGAACTAACTCAGTTTAACAACTATTTTCAAAATATCTGTGTGGAGGATCTTCTCACGTACCACTCTTATGTGTGGGTTCTAATGTATGCATTTTCCAGGTACTTTACCTTAATCAGAGAGGCTATGTACTACTTACAAGTATTTTCTTTATTTGTGTTTCTAGATCTAGGATATGTTTACGTAAAGTTTTTCTCTCAGTGATTATCTTGCGGTACCGACTACGGAACACTGTCGCCTGTTCTGCTTTACTTTCCACTTCTTTTCCTGTTGACTCTGCGTTTGCGTATTATTTCATCAGGGTACCGACCATCTTTATAATGTTTTCTACTGTTCCCTTCATATCCTTCATTGGGTGTTTGGGACCTATTTCGTAGCGTGGTAGGTGTGAACCGTCACGACTACTTTGCAGAGGTTTTCTCAGATCATGATCAACTTTGCAGAGTCTTTTACATTCTTTCTGTTCTTTAAAGAAATGATTCAAAGGTATTTCTTTTATGTTTAGTGTCCCAGACCAGCGATGTGTGGTAAATATCGATATATGTGAGCAACTCTTTTTACTATCGCCAGGCATCTAGGACTAACCTGGCGTAGCAGAACTTCTATATTTTTCCCAAATCACAGACCAGTGAGAAATAATCTCACACTTCTACTAATCCCGACTTTTTTGAAGGATCTATTAAGGACTAAGGGCTTCGAAACCTTGCAAAGATAGCTTTGTAAACTAAAGACCTAATGATCTATGGAGGCAGTCGTGAGTTGCCTTGCATATAGTTGCAATAGATCTAAATTTAATGATGTTTCTGACGAAGACGGTGGCGACGAAGTATAGGAAAGAAGGACGCGCTGCTCCTTAAAACGTGCTTTCTATCAAAGGACCGCTCTTAAATATAAATAATATAATATTTTTTATAACAATAAATTTCTTCTTTTTCGGGCTTCTTTTGTGCAACAATAGAATTTTTTGTCGCACGTCACGAAAAAGCTCAGAAAAGCAATGGGACCGATGTCTATTACTAGGAATCCCCGTTTCCTCTCGCCATCTCCCTATGCTTAAATAGCCCCAGTGACTGCCCACGACATTTAGACTATATAGGAACATTTCCTCCTTGCAAACTTGTTTCTATTGCATTGCCTTAAAACTTCAATCCGTTCTCGGATTCCACCGCATGACACAAAATCGACTATTTTACTTCTTCGCTGGAACACCTCTGTTCATCGAGGACTCGTAATTAATGTCTAGTATAGATTTAATACATTAAATATTTTAGTAGATTTTTTCAATCTTAGAGGGGTAAATTTGCAGAAATAAACCCAGGGTTCCACGAAAATGGAGTTATGTAAAATGCATGAATGGCACTTAACCGCTTAAATCGCCATGCTATAACTAGGTATGTGGTGCATGATTTTAATCGTAAGCTATGGGAAAGTCGCTTGATACGAAAGCTAGAACTAAAATAGCCTCGCAGTTATTGCTACCTTCTTCACATGGTGGCTCCAGTCATAACACTTGACTCTATGAGTTACTAATATAATCATCAAAAAACTGGTTTGATAACTATAATGGCTATGCGTCTGAGTCATTTTCATCATTAATATCTGCTAAGGATAGTATGCTAATAACAGAATTAATAATGCTACATCAGAAGAAACATGTTTACATTTCATAAAGGAATCAATAATTTTTGAGTGGTATAAGAAGTGCCTGTCCCGGAAAGTACGCAAAACCTTACGGTGTGAAAAAAGAAGCCCGAAGGGAGAATCTTAAATCAATTACAGTATCGAAATGGAACAATAGATGGAATGGAGACGATTAAGACAGTTGTAACCAAACCAAGAGCATAAGGCGAAACCAAAAACACAGCCCACCTAAGAGAAAAGATTAAAAGGAAATAAACAAGCTAGCTGAGAAGCCGAGAACAAATAACAAGGAAGCATTTGAAGGGGACAGGAACATATAAAAGCAAATGCTGGGTCACTCCGGCAACTTATCGGCTTGCTCGAAACAGTTCGGAATTCGTTAAGTATTCGCCGAAAATACGGGTAAGGATTCAATGCAGGGAGTCCTAAGGTACCAAAGTGAACAAAAGTTGTAAGCTCCAAGGAATTTTAGCAGTTGGTCCTAGTGGAGGTGTGGGTAACTAACACAAGGATATTCTTTTTGAAAATCCTGAACCATTTCAACCACACGCTTCTATCAGGAACCTGATCACATGTGTGGTGCACTAACTGACCAGGTGATTTTACGATCAACTGAAACGGTTTAGATTAGTTTACATTTAACGTACACGTAAACCGAATTAATTTATTTAGCCGCACGTTTAAATTTTTTTCTTTTTATTGCTATCAATGCGATTGCTTAAATTTGCGTTCAGCGCGCTTTGCAGTTGGGAAAAGCTGAATTTGTCACTACTTAATACAATATATTCAATGCGAAAAGTAATAATAAGTGATGTTATGTAAATAACACACTACCGTAACCTAGATATTTAATTATATAATTAACGTAATATAATAATTAAATAATATAATAATTTGTGTAACTTGTTAATCCATAGGAAAGTAATTGAGTATTTCTGGTTAAAAATTTACCTTAAGACGGAAAACATAA